CCCCAAAACCCCAAAACCCCAAAACCCCTTAAAATCAAATTAGCTGATTTCAATGAATTTGAAATATAAATAATTAATAAACTGAAAGAAAAAGCAACATGAGTATTGAAAATTAATCATCTTCCTGCAACTCTTAAAAGCCTAGACAGGATATGTATAGCTTGCCATATGAAAAAGATATTTAAGAAATTTTAGGGAGAGCTCTGCAAATTTAAGATTAAATCAAGAGCTAACCCTCCTCTTAGGCTAAAAAAGTGAAGGAAATCGATGTTTTGCTACAAAAAGCGCATAGTTACATTTTGCAGTTCCAGCTTGATTAGAAATCTATGCCACCTTCTTAAAAGAAAAAAGATGCCCGAGTAAAACTCAGTGAATATAATGCTAAGTATCATTAAATTGAAGTAAAGTAGCAACAACTTAAGCTGCTAGTTATGACTGATGATGAAGATGATGATAGTGACGATTGTGGAATGTAATTTGATGATAAGTTCAAAAAGAATTGTGAAATTTCAGAGGATGAAGAGGAATAAAGAAACTTAATAAAGACACGTAAGAAGAATAAAAAAATACTCGATAAAACAAAGAATGAACTGGATAATTAGAATTCAATGCTTAGTGATTCAATAAAAAGTGGACTCTCAAGTCTTAATCTGGCAAGAGGAGCAATGCTAGCTTTAAGAGGTCAGAGGGACTAGATAGTTAATACAGTTGGAATAGTGAGAGAAATAGGCTTTGATCTAATGAGGAGTGAGAAAACTATTAAGGATATAAATAAAAGAAAGCTTATCAATATAATCATTCTCTATCTGATCATATTCCTGCTATTTGTAACTATAATCCTGGTATTATACTTCAAAGTTCATTTCTGAAGAAAATAGTGAATTCGAGAGTATTTCGATGATATATGCAAAGTTTGTAAAATACTTATCAGAAATATTAAATGTGAGTATTTTTGGCTTTGTGAAAGTTAAGTTTAATATTCTTAATATTTATCACAAATTTATATTAGAACTCATTTATAAATTACTATTTAAAAGCTGTTTGAGCATTCTTCTATAACTTAATCTAACAACTTCTAAGGCATTCATAATAAAATTGCACGCTGATTACTTTAACTTCATGATAACTTAAGGTCTAACCAGTTATTATATTCATAAATTTTATTTACCCTCAATTAGCTATTAAAGTTTTAAAGATTTTTCAAAAGATTAATCTTTTCCTGAAAAAGACCTTATTGAGCTTGTTAGCCTCGCTATTGATAATTTAACTATACTCAGCACTATTATTATGTGCTCTTACTCGATCTATTATTCCGCTAACATTATGACTTCTATTAAATCTAGTTGGACTCTGTTCATTATAAACTACCTGCTTACTATTTGCTGAGTTATTTATTATATGGAAGTTCAGTTAAGATGCATTAATTAATGATTGTGGTTTTTAATCATACTTTTATGTCCAGTATTCCCTAGATTAATAAAACTTGCTTTACTTTTTTAATAGTTCTTCCTAACTGAGTTATTTTTAAAGATCCTTAATACTATTATTATTAGACTTTCCAAACTGCTGTTAGTTAATGCTATACGTTTATTCAAGCTACTTAGCAGGCAGCTTTATGAGAATTTGTTACTTCTTGCTGTTTTGTAAAGGTTATCTTAATAGCTCTTCTTAAGCACCAATAACTCTTGGAGAGCACACTAAAGACCTGTTTAGAATAGGACTTTAGGCTTAAGAGTGATTAAGAGGCTCTAGCTTATGTCTTGTTCATGATACTGAGGATGATCCCACATTGCCTTGATAGCCAAACTAAGATTTATCAAAATCTTTCATCTAAGGTAAGCCCATATTATTTATTCTCTGGTCTGAAGTCTTGTATATATTCTTGATCTGTCTAGACACTGAGGGTTTGCTGTTAGCTAATGGAGGTTTATTGCTCTGCAAGACGTAGATCTTATCATCCTACTAAATTACACTTAAGTTTTTTAAATCATTCTTTGTTGTACTTAGATAAGATTGAAGGCTTGTTAACTGAAGATCTCTGTTGCTGGTGGCATTAATCATCTCAATATCTGATTCTTAGTTAATTGATGGTTTAGAGTCTGTTAAAATAGGTTATGGAGTAGATTACCCTATCTAAGCCTTCTTAAAAGTTTCTAGAATAATTTTGGCTTGATTTTTAGGGGTGCCGAAGTAGTTCAAAGATATTTTGTTCTTTTTCAAAGAAGAGTTCAATAACTTAAATTATGGACTGTCTCTTTTCATTAAGTGTCGCAGAATTTATTTGGATAGTTAATTTTTTTAAATTCTCTCAATATGATTATACACATATATTTACCCTCTATGGGGTTTTGGGGTTTTGGGGTTTTGGGG